CCTTCCGCCGCGCCCTCAAGACGTGGTTGTTCCAGCTTGCGGGACTGGCCTAAGGGATTTTAAAGGGGTTTTATTTATTTTTAAATTTGACGAGTTTAAATATTTCTTTTTAATCAATTTTAATAGGTGTATAATGTGTGTGTTTTTTATCTGATTGTTAGCCGCCCTGAGTCCGTAAGGAGAAGGGCGGGATATAAATTTAATTAATAAATAAATAAATAAATAAATAAATAAATAAATAAATAAATAAATAAATACAGAAATTAATTATTATTCATTGTTTTTTAAATACATGAACCCAGACAACATGCTGTTTGCTAAATATTAAAAATGTTGTTTTCATAACAACATATATAAACCTGCTTGATTTCATGGCAGCATCTTATGTTTCACGTTAAAGATCAGATATTTTTTAAAAAAAACTGTTTCTGATGTGAATCCTGCCCATCCCACCCCCTCCAAAACCTCTTCTCTCACCGGTAATTGTATACGGTACTGCCTGGATTCTGGCCTCACATCTATCTTCATCTCTTCTGTGATGGTAGATAAGCTCGAGCCCTGGTGAAAAATGGCTCGTACTTTCTGTCGACCAGGATCCAAGGTCAAAGTATACTGAATGGTGCTCGAAATGTCATTGCCTGAGGGAGATTACAATCAAATTCAGAACACTTAGATTCCAAGATCATCCCTGATATATAGTACAACTTCTCTTACAAGAGGCCTAGAGCAGGGGTCCCCAACCATGCTGGCTGAGGAATTCTGGGAGTTGAAGTCCACAAGTCATAAAGTGACCAAGGTTGGGGACCTCTGGCCTAGAGCACAAAAGTTTGATGAGTTACAGCTAGGAAGTCCCTACCATTGTCTTGGATTTCTCTGAGGACATTGTCTTTAGGGATGCTAGGTTTAATGACGGATTGTACTGCAATCATACCTTGGTGAATTTTCCACAATATTTTAATTTATGAGAGAACACTGCAAAAAACAGTGAACAATAATCCAGCATGAGAAAAGCACATCTTCCTTCCCCTGTCCTGACCACTTTCTACAGGGGGACAATCGAGAGCATCCTGTCATACAGCATCACAGTCTGGTTTGAAGGCATCACTGCTTCAGACAGGAAGGCGGTGCAGAGAGTGGTGAGAATGGCCGAAAAGATCATTGGCAGTTCCCTCCCTCCCATCCAGGACATAGCACAGAAGCATTGCCTGAGCAGAGTCCATAAGATTATCTGGGACACTACACATCCTCTTCACGACCTGTTTTCCTTGTTACCTTCTGGGAGGAGGCTTCGTGGTATCCGTGGCAGAACATCCAGATTCAGCCAGAGTTTCATTCCATACAGCATTAACCTCGTGAACTCTCAAGCTTCCTCCTTCCGTTATATATTCAAGATGGACAATATTTAATATTTATTTGCTATGTATATGTAGGGATGTGGGTCTATACATATGTTGTTCATAATATGTTTTGGTGTGTGTCATGTATGTGTTTCACTTTGAGAGCGGGAAACTAAATTTCATTTTTGATGTGTGCCATTGTGCCCACAGTAAAAAAAATGACAATAAAAGTTATCTTATCTTATCTTAGTGAAACCCTCTGAATTTATGAGGTGCTGGTCAGATCTCTGGAGGCTTCCTATTGACTGACACAATTCTTAGAAGATCCCAGCATTGCCCTTCAGATACACAGAGGAGCTGTGGGGAAGAAATAATCTGAGAAACTGTTCCTTTGAAGATCTGTAAACCTACCGAAGGTAAACCGGGAGTCTCCCTGGATTTTAAAGTGGACTGTTGCTGTGCTGATTTCCCTGTTCATCACTTCCTGGCCTTCGCACTCAAAGGCAGAGATGGGGATGGCAGTTGGGTTAAAGCTTATTCCAGTCAGCACACTGACCACAGGTCGGGATCTATGGCAGACATAAATAGGCACATACTGGAGTGAGCTATGGGAATCATTCGAGATCCATTCTGAGAAGATCTACTCGCTTGTCAGAAAATGTCATTTAGACCAGGGCTTTTCAACCTTTTCACCCATTGTATCACTTTTAGGATATGGCAATATCCGAGTACCACCAGTCGCCTAGCAAGGTGTCAAAAACTTGATGACAAAAAAAAAGGAAAAAAGTGATAAAGTACAGGTAGTCCTTGACTTACAACAGTTCGCTTAGTGACTGTTTGAAGTTACAATGGCACTGAAAAAAGTGCCCCCCAAGGCACAGCTGAGCAAGACACCTGCCTGCCCACCCGGCGGCGCTCTTCCTCCTATCCGAGGTTTTCATTGTTGTGAGCATTTCTGTTGCGGATTGGCAACAGGGGTAGGGTGGGGGGGGTTGCTTTTTATTCCCCCCGTCTGATGAGTGGTTGCAGCAGGTTTTGGTCACTTCACATGACCCTGGGACTCTGTGACCGTCATAAATATGGATCAGTTGCCAAGCATCTGAATGTAAATCACAAGACCCTGGAGATGCTGCAACATTCCAGCTGATCAGCGCTTCTTCTGGGCCCAGCGGAAGCGCCAGGATCAGTGCTGCTTTCCAGCTGATTGGTGCTTCTTCAGGGCTCAGCAGAAGCACCAGGATCAGCGCCGAGCTCCAGCTGGAGGCTGGCGCTGATCCTGGTGCTTCCACTGAGCCCTGACAGTCCCGAAGAAGTGCTGATCCTGGTGCTTCCACTGAGCCCTGACAGCCCTGCAGCTCCAGCCATCTCTCACTCAGGCTTGTGCGGTGCTGCCACCAATTCAGCTCATTCCCCTCCCCCGCTACCACTTTTCTAAGATGGTCGCGTACCACCTACCAGGTGCCAATGTACCACATGTGGTACCTGTACCACTGGTTGAAAAGCCCTGATTTTAGACCAGGGGTCCCCAACCCCTGGTCCGTGGACCAGTACCGGGCTGTGGCATGCCAGCAACCGGTTCACACAAACAAGCAAAGCCCCATCCATGGGATGCAGGCAGCACATAAAACCACGCACTCTCTGGTCCGTGGAAAAACTTTTCTCCATGGAACTGGTCCCTGGTGCCCAAAAGGTTGGGGACCTCTGATTTAGACTCACAAAGTACATGTAGTCCTCGAGTTATGGCTAATTGTTTAGCAACCTTTTCAAGTCCTGACAGACCTCTCTGGGGATAGTTACGCCCTCGCTTTGAATTTCCAATGGTCACCAACCCCCTGTCACATGACAACCAACTGAGCCATTTTAGAGCCTTTTGCAGAGTTCCAGAGTCACATGACCAAATTTTACGATGGTTTTGACCAAAACTGACATTTACTTCTGGTTTTAGGCAAAAGCCCATAGCCAACAATTGGCTCATTTAATGCCCGTGGCGTTTGCTTAACAACTACCAGAGAAAAAGGTCATAAAAACAGGCTGGTCACCATCATGAGTTATGACCATGATGGGCAAGCTCCAATGCAGTCATAACTTGAAGACTACCTGTATTTCAGACACAGGCACAAACAACACAGACTCAAGGAGACATATCTCTTTTTATGATATTGTCTTTTCCTTGCATTCCAGAGGCAGGAAAATGCCTTTTTCCACTTTCCCTGCTGAGAAAAGCGTGCACGAAAATCAAAAGGATCTAGTACAGTGGTGGCGAACCTGTGGCACGCGTGCCATAGGTGACATGCAGAGCCGTCCCTGTGGGCACGCGAGCCATTGCCCCAGAGGGAGGCGGGCCCAGGCTGCTCCCCGTCCCCTCTCCACATGTGCCTGTGCTCTTTCTCTCTTTCTCTCTGCACTGGGAGTCAGGGAGCAGCTGCAAGAGCTGGGCAGATCCGGGCTGGATGGTGGAGGCAGCTAAGGCCTTTTCGAAGCCTCTGGAGCTCGCATCCATGGCTGCGGGGCGATTTTGCAGTGCGCCGGTGGCCCAATCCGGGCTCCGGAGGCCTGCAAAAGGCCTCTGCCCCATGGATCTAGAAAGAGCCGGCCACCTGGGCTATGGGGGCGTACGGGGGTTCTGCTCTCCCAAAAGGCCACCAACTCCTGGCTGGCAACCTGCCCGGCAGCCCCACCCTGTCAGCGCCGAAGTACCGCCCGCCTTGCCCGGAGCCACCCCCAGCCGCTGCCTTGGCCCCTCTGCCGTGAAAGACGAGCGCGCCGCCAGGGCTGGGGCTGAGAGGAGCTGGCCACGCCCACCCAGTAGGCCATGCCCATCACACCCACCCAGTGGACCACACCCATCCGGCACCCGACAATAAATAAGTGGGTTTTGGGTTGCAGTTTGGGCACTCGGTCTCTAAAAGGTTCGCCACCACTGATCTAGTAGATCAAATCTTGAAAAGTAACTTTCTGAGAGCGCACTAGATAGCACTTCATCCCATGACCCATAATGCAGCCTGAATGTCCACCTGTGCTTTTTGATCTGGGTGCCAACTTACAAAGCTAAACTCCCCAGAAATTGGTTTTGCACATGTCTGGGTGTCTTTCCATACAGATGTAGGAATTGCATTACTTTTCCACTTTAGCTAGCAAAATGTTTGGGATCAATCCTAAGCCTTCTTGTCTCTGCTGGTTGTGCCTGGTCCAATTTGCTTTCCTTTCCCTTGCCTCAATAAATTAAGGGACACCTTTAAAAGAGTTCCTTTCATTTACGGATCAGATTTTTCTCACTCCTCGTTAGAAATGGACAATTGTCTACTTTACTTCAATACTTTGAAAGGGTGCATTCATACCGATAGACTTTACATAAAACCATGGGGAGTTATAAGATGGGTGGCTATATACATGTGTTAAAGAACAGAACAGAACGAGCACAGAGAAGAGTGACAAAGATGATTAGGGGTCTGGATGCTAAATTATACAATGAAGAATTGAGGGAACTAGGCTTGTCTAGTCTAACAAAGAGAAGGATTAGGGTGGACATGATAGCAATCTTCCAATATCCGAGAGGCTCTCACAGAGAAGAGGGAGTCAACTTATTCTCCAAAGCGCCTGAAGCAGTGGTGGGATTCAGCCAGTTCGCACCACTTCAGCAGAACCGGTAGCTAATTTTTTGTTGCCCAGGCCCAGAATAGACTTCCAGAAGCGGCATCCACACAGAGAACCGGTTGTTCACATAGTTGAATCCCACCACTGACCTGAAGGCAGGACAAGAAGCAATGGATAGAAACTAATCAAGGAGAGAACCAACCTAGAACTAAGGAGAAATTTCCTGACAGGGAGAACAACTAACCAATGAAATGGCTCGTCTTCAAAAAAAAAATTGTGGGTGCTCCATCACTGGAGGTTTTTAAGAAGAGACTGAATATCTATTTGTCAAGAGTGGTATAGGGTCTCCTGCTTGAGCAGCGGGTTGGACCAAAAGACCTCCAAGGTCCCTTCCAACTCTGTTATTCTGTATTTAATAGAGTAGAGTAGAGTAGAGTAGAGTAGAGTAGAGTAGAGTAGAGTAGAGTAGAGTAGAGTAGAGTAGAGTAGAGTAGAATAGAATAGAATAGAGTATATAGAGTAGAGTAGAGTAGAGTAGAGTAGAGTAGAGTAGAGTAGAGTAGAGTAGAGTAGAGTAGAGTAGAGTAGAGTAGAATAGAATAGAATAGAATAGAATAGAATAGAATAGAATAGAATAGAAACCAGCCTTGCCTTAGGAGCAGCACTTGTCCATCAGCCCCAACAGCCAGATCTGGGAGTCCGTCTCCTGTAAGCTCCGACCCCCCGTCCAGAGCTTGACCAAAATACTGCATCCTGTTAGGCAGGATAGAAGCTTGAATGCGCTGCAAAGAAGAAACAGAGAGTAAGACGATAAAGAGGCAGAGGGATGAAAGGGATGTGGGCAGCTGAAGGCTCACCTGGATAAAAGCAGGGTTGAGGGATCTACTCTTTCCCTGAAAGATGTACACAGCTCCTTGATTCTCGTCCTCCAATGGTGCCCCAACAGCCACATCTGTCCACTGATCCCCAGTAATTTCCCCGGCTTCTGCTATGCTGGTTCCAAAGCGGCCCAAGGGGTGATGGGGCTCCCCTTGCAATTCGTTGCCACAGAAAAATGTTTCTCCCTGGAAGGGAAATGGGGTGAAGGAAAGGCACGTGAATTGGGCTGAAAGCATTTCCTCCAGAAGTCATTGTGCCTGGAGGAAATCAAACCCCTGAATAACAGCCCGGCATGTATTTCTGTTCATCTCCACACACCCCCCCCCAAGATATGGTAAAAAAAATGTCGAGATGGTGGCTGCAATGACGCAATGAAAGCTTCACAATGCACGTAAACAAAAACGGGTGTTGTTTGGCACTGCTGCAACTGCCATCTTGACTTTTTTGACCTTATCTTGCAGCCACTCCTGCGCTGCCGCACAGCTGAACCGTTCTATCATTCAGTTCACAGCCATAATGCTGTCTTTTTGATTCTCCAACAACTTGAGCTAAACGCTGGTACTTTGTCTCAGGGTTCATTGTCGCTAGTCTCGGGCTGGCTGCTTGGGAAAAAAGCTGAATGAATGAATGAATGAATGAATGAATGAATGAATGAATGAATGAATGATGCTTTTAAAAATTGATGCGAATCCAGTTTATATTATTCTTGAAGGTTCCAAGGCTCTAAACGCAACTCATTCCAAACTCATCAATGAAGGCGAATATACGTGTCCCAGGATAAAGTTGCAGGATCCGATCTGGGTTGGTCACTGGGATCAGAGGTTTAATATTCCGAGCTTTCAAACTCGTACTGGAACTCATCCTCAGGGAACTTCTCTCTACCAGGATGTGTGCTTTGGGCTAGTCCAGTGGTGGCGAACCTTTTAGAGACCGAGTGCCCAAACTGCAACCCAAAACCCACTTATTTATTGCTGGGTGCCGGGTGGGCCTGGCCCACTGGTGAACATGGCTGTGGTGGTCATGGCAGACTGGGTGGGTGTGGCCAAGGTAGGCATGGTCACCTCGATGTTGCTCGTGGGGAGGGACTCCTGTGGGGGCCGGGCAGGTTTGGGGGAAATCCAGGGGTGTCTGGCAGGTGGGGTGGTGGATAGGAGGCTCGTCCTGCAGGGTGAGGCGAGGCAGGGTGGGGGTGCCATTATCTCAGGGCAAGGCAAGGCAGGGGCCGGGGCAGCTGCTGCCTGACACCATCGGCCCCACACACAGAGGCCAGTGAGTGCATGGGGGCCGACAGTGCCCGTCAGCAGCCACAGCCTGCCAGCCCCTCAACCGGCATACTCTGGGGCTCCTCAGCCCGCCAGCAGCAGTTCAGAGAAGTGCCCACAGAGAGGGCTCTGAGTGCCGCCTGTGGCACCTGTGCCATAGGTTTGCCACCACTGGGCTAGTCTATGCGTAGTATTTATGTTGTACCTGGTTGCGTGTGGTTTTTTATTTGTTAATTGGAGTATTGATAGCCGGCTATTAAGCCACTGGCTGTTGTTTCCTTGTGCTGCCAAGTCCTTGGCTCCTAAGTACCCAATGAGCTGGTGGTAAATCAGCACCTCTGTTGACTGACAAATGGCCTGTTTCCCAGGCTTCAATAATTTCCCTAGCTACCTTTGTACCTGCTTGACCAACAATCTTAGTAGCTGCAAAATTGAATGTATGTCCTTGTTCATTGCAATGTGAGGCTACCGACCACTCGCTTGAGTTCTTGCAATCAGGTGGTTAGCTTCCCCCGCCCCCCATCTTTCCTACATAGTCGCAGGGGCTCGGAAGACTAAAACTCTGGACCCAGTGACTGAGCAAGATTGGATCCTGCAACATTCCAAACTACTGAAAAGAAAACCTAGTCCAGCCCAACCCAGCCTAGCCTCAGCCTCAGCCACAGCCACAGACACAGACACAGACACAGATACAGACACAGACACAGACACAGACACAGCGACAGACACAGACACAGACACAGACACAGCTCCCAGTCCCCAGTCCAGTTTTTTACTTACCTGCCTTTGGCAAACATAGACCCTTCCTCCTGCAGTGCCATCATAGTACATAGGTGCGCCAATGAGGACCAAGTCAGTATTCCCGTCTCTGTCCAAGTCCACAGCACACAGGGTAGCCCCAAAATACGAGCCGATCTGGGGGGACTTTAAAATTTCCATTTTAAAAAAATATTTGCCTAGGATCCTCAAGTCTGACCAGTTTCCCCGCCTGATGCCCCCCTCCCTTTTTTCCCTTTATCCACTGTGTGTCCCAGCAAAGCCTCCATTGCCAGAGACCGAAAGGAAAGCAGTTTTGCACTGATGAGGTTACCTAATTTGGTAATGAAACATCTGCAAGAAAACCACCAAGCTCGGAGAACACCAAGGACCCCAAAAGCAACTTGAAATTTAGCAAAGGACCCATTAGCCAGATGCTGCAGTCAAAGCTGGCAGAGTTTCTGATCCACTGAAGTATTTAAACTCTTTGTGGATAGATAGTTGTTAGGTTTCCACTCAAGAATGTTCAGATTTAATTGCTCCAATGTTTTAGAAAATTCCTTTTGGGGAGCTCCTGTATGGCATTTAAAGTAGTTTTAAACAGAAGCTTTCTGGTTTCATGAAAGGGTATATGTTGAGAGGATCAAACTTCTCCTTAAATCTGGAGAGACTAAAAAAAGTTGAGGTTTAGTAGGTAGCCATAATGCTTTAGGATTTTATTTATCCAAATGCTTGAAATGTTTAAATAGTTTTCTGGAATTAAGGAATCTTTTGCCCAAGCAGGAGACCCTACACCAGGGGTGTCAAACTCAATTTCATTGAGGGCTGCATCAGCATTGCGGTTGCCCTCAGGGGGCCAGGTAGGTGTGGCCAGGGTGGGTGTGGCCTACTGAGTGAGCATGGGTGGAGTGGGTGTGGCCTACTGGGTGGGCATGGCCAGCTCTACATCGTTCACGTCAAGGGTGCCTGTGGGGGCCTGGGCAGGAGTGGGACAGATCTGAGGGTCTCTGGCAGAAGGGGGTGGGATCGGGGCAAGCGCCAAGGCATGGTCCATTTCTTCATTCCTCACAAAGGGTGATACCTCCCCAGCATGCACCCAGGGGTCGGGGCCCACACGGCAGGGGCTGGTTCCTCGCTGTTTCCAGACGGCCTTGTGGAGCTAAGACTGAATGCGTTTCAGCATAGATGGCCACCACAAAATTGTACATTGGCTCCCTCCTGGCTGGCCTGGGCCAGCCCACTGTTTCCAGGATGGCTTCGCGGGCCACATGAAACCACTTCACGGGCCGCATCCGGCCCCCAGGCCTTGTGTTTGACATGTCTGCCCTACACCATTCCAGATAAACAGCTGTCCACTCTCTTCTTAAAAACCTCCAGTGATGGAGCACCCACAATTTCTGGAGGCAAAGTGTTCCACTGATTAATTGTTCTAACTATCAGGAAATTTCTCCTATGTTCTAGGTTGTATCTCTGATAGGTTTCCATCTGTTGCTTCTTCTCTTGCCCTCCAGTGCTTTGGAGAAAAGGTTGTCCCCCTTTTCTTTGCGACAGCCTCTCAAACATCGGAAGGCTGCTATCAAGAGAGAAATCTCCTTCTCTGGTTGATGGACAGTAGGCCCAATCAAAATACAAGCTTACAAGCTAAATCATTCCTGCAGGTGATCAGCCCATTTACCTGCTTTAAAGAGAGCTCTGATATCTGTTGCCACTGCCCTCTCTTTTGGCTGAACCAGACCACTTTGCCCATGTGTTGATAACGCGGGGCTCCCACTACGAAGCTTGTCCGTCCATTGACTTGAACTTCCTGAATTGAATAACCTGGTGAGGACACAAAGATGATCAAGGAAGAGGATGAAACAAAGGCACACAGCTTATTTACAGTTTTATAAAAGGTATTCTCAACTAGCCAGGATAATGCAGATGCTTCTGGGGTATGCGTAGCCCAAGATGAAAATTAGCCACAAGCAACTGTCCCTGGCAGTAAGAACAGTTCCTAGATCTTCCTTTCTTATATCCTCAAACTACATTTTTAAATAATCTCTTTATGATTTAAATCTCTTTATTATTTCAGTTTCAACACCGTGCATTGTAATACAAATTAACATGAAAAGGAATTACAAATGAATAAAGGGGCAAAAGAAATGCATCAAACACATATAACAAAAAGCGACCCCTGACTTAATTTTAGTACAGAATATTAACAATACAATCACCTCATAGACAGGGGTAGGCAACCTTGGCTCTTTTATGACTCGTGGACTTCAACTCCCAGAATTCCTGAGCCAGCATGGCTCAGCATGGAAACCTCTCCCTTTCTCCTCAGCCTAGCTGACTCAGGAATTCTGGGAGTTGAAGTCCACGAGTCATAAAAGAGCCGAGGTTGCCTACCCCTGTCTATGAGGTTGCATTTTACTCTTACCAAGATAAGCAGTTTTCAAATCATTTGTGGAGGAGGTGGAGATGTTGATAAAAGTCACATCACCCTGCCTGTTGAAAAGGAAGAGTCCTCCAGCCCAGTCATAGGTTCCGACTGCCCCCAGTATGGAGCCATCCTAAACCAGCAAAAGAACCAGCAAAGCAGAGAAGATGTTAATCAACCGAAAGAAAATAAATCCTTCTGATGGAAATTGTCGTCTTCCTCCTTTCGTAGGGCATTAATATATTCTGATTTTTCTTTTCTACAACCCACCTGTAATAACCTGTAATGAAAGAATGCAGAGAAGAGCAACAAAGATGATTAGGGGACTGGAGGCTAAAACATATAAGGAACGGCTGCTGGAATTGGGTATGTCTAGTTTAATGAAGAGAAGGACGAGGGGGGACATGATAGCAGTGTTCCAATATCTCAGGGGCTGCCACAAAGAAGAGGGAGTCAAGCTATTTTCCAAAGCCCCTGAAGGCAGGATGAGAAGCAACAGGTGGAAACTGATCAAGGAGAGAAGCAACCTAGAACTAAGGAGAAACTTCCTGACTGTTAGAACAATTAATCAGTGGAATGATTTGCCTCCAGAAGTTGTGAATGCTCCAACACGGGAAGTTTTTAAGAAGAGATTGGACAACATTTGTCTGAAATGGTATGGGGTTTCCTGCCTGAGCAGGGGATTGGACAAGAAGACTTCCAAGTTCCCTTCCAACTATTCTATTTCTATTATTTCTATTATTTCTATTCTATTCTATTCTATTCTATTCTATTCTATTCTATTCTAACCATGTTTGGGACAAATCAAATATTCAAAACATCCCTTACTCTGAATTAGTCAAAGCAATGTACCTCTGTAGAAATCAGGAATCCCAAGAAGTCTAATTCTGCACACTTTCCTTTCAGACATTGCAGTCCACAAAGACTAAGGCCTCTACCGATTATTTGTTCAAGGAAGCCCACTGATCTTCATTTCCGCGGGCATTTAATTCTGAATTATTTTCCTCTCTGTTTTATGCTTGTACTTAAGTCTGACCTGCTACTTATCAACATCTAATTTGCATTGGGGGACCTGAGATGAGGGTGACTCACCTGGGTGTGTAAAGCACTGAATCCTTCCTGAGACAACTCTAACTCGAAGGACTGAGAGGTGTTGCCAGTGCTCCGGGACTGAGTACCTGAAGAAGGAAGTGGGAAAGGAAGACAAATGAGCATCCCTGAGATGCTTCTACTGGATCAGAGGGTGGACCAGGCTTGGATAGGGGTCCTCGTGGAGCAGAAGAGGGCATCAAGTTGATTGAAAGAAATATCGAACAAGTCTTGGTATCTCTTGGTGCAACCTGAAGACTTTGGGGAGGTAACGCTGTTGGAGCAATGGCAGGCCAAGCAGATGGATTATCTGTCAACTTAGGTCTGTTCCATCGATTTCAATGGAGGTTTACTCAAAATATAGATAAATCTGGAAACAGGTCATATTTCCAACCAGCAACATCAAAG